ATGGCTTGGCACCAGAGGACGGAGCCTTCTGCCACGTCATCGTTCCGATGGGTTCCATTGGCTTGTTTGTAGATCTGCAGGGTGTAGTTTAGAGGAGAGCTCTATTGGGCAGCTTCGTGTGTGTCTTCTGGGATGCTCCAGCTTGGGAGAATCCATTTGGAATTTCAGGAAAGCGAAGGCTGTGTTTCTGGAATGGTGCTTTTCATGAAGTCACAGATGCCCTCTGCCCACCGACTCCTTTGTTTTCAAGGGGGATTTTTTTTTTTCCAGTATGGTTTTGAGCACAGCTGTCATGGATCTCAATACATATTTGTTGGGTGATGAATAATAAAAAATTCATCTTGAGTTTCCGCTCAGGTTGGAAACACAGGGTGTGGTTCTGTAGCATGATGTTGACTCATGTTCTGAATGGCCAGTGTGGGTCCTGCTTCTCTCTCCACAGAATCCAGTCAGGCACCTGCTTCCCCTGCTGCCTGCTAGTTCCTTCCTGCTCTGGGGAGAGGTCTCGTCAGGAAGAATCCTAACCTCTAAGTCATAGAGGTAGGCAGGCGCCCTCACAAGTGCAGGGCCTGTCTCTCCTGAGGAGCAGCTGAATTCAGAAGGGACAGCAATCGTGTTACAGAACGATCATGATCACGCGTGTAACAGCTGCTTTTTACTGAGAAACCACGGGGCAGCAGCTGCTCTGTTATGCATTTTATATGCATTTGATCACGGGATCAGGTCTGTCCTCTGCTTTCAGGGACGAAATCGGATGTGGTCCTCCAAATAGGGAAACTTTCCCACTGAAGCAGAACAGAGTGCCCAGGACGCACCCAGAATGGTGCTGGCACCGTGCAGGAGACACCTGGGGTGTGGGGTTGTCTGAGATGGCTGCGAATTCAGTGTCACATTAGAATAATCTCTGAAGCATTTTGTGAATCATTTGCTGATTCTGTTGGGGTCCCTTGTACAGGAGAACTTTAGGGAAAATTGAAGATGGGCTTAACTTGACTATGTGCGCCCTGGCTCAAGGGATTCCCTTCGAAAGTCCCTTTTGGTGCTCAAGAGACATGAGTCACTGCTCCAAGTCATGGAAGGAGCAGTGGGCGGGACCTCGGCATGAATGACAGAAATAGATGGCACCATTGAATCAGTCAGAAAAACTGATTAACACTGGATTAAATATTCAATCATTTATCATCTCAGGAGCTCTGAGGCAGGCATTCGGAGGCTAGTTCATCAGCAACAGTGTCTCACCAACTATCCAGGGTTGTTCATTTCTACTGTAAGAAGCAGCAGAACTTTTGACTATTATCTTTTTTTTATTTTTATTTTTTATTTATTTATTTTATTTTTTGACAGGCAGAGTGGACAGTGAGAGAGAGAGACAGAGAGAAAGGTCTTCCTTTGCCATTGGTTCACCCTCCAATGGCCGCCGCGGCTGGCGCGCTGCGGCCGGCGCACCACGCTGATCCGATGGCAGGAGCCAGGAGCCAGCAGCCAGGTGCTTTCTCCTGGTCTCCCATGGGGTGCAGGGCCCAAGCACCTGGGCCATCCTCCACTGCACTCCCTGGCCACAGCAGAGAGCTGGCCTGGAAGAGGGGCAACCGGGACAGAATCCGGCGCCCCAACCGGGACTAGAACCCGGTGTGCCGGCGCCGCTAGGCAGAGGATTAGCCTAGTAAGCCGCGGCGCCGGCGACTATTATGTTTATATTTGCCACTTCATGGCCACATAATGATTACCACAACTCCAGACATTGTATCTGAATTCAGGGATGAAAGATGAGCATAAGCATGTGTGTGTGAGAGGGTAGGGTGGAGAGGGAGAGGGAGCACTTACATGTATTTATACCTGTCTACTCTGTAGGAAAGTAAAAAATTTCCCAGAAGTCTACTAGATGACTTCTCTCTGTCATTGGCTGGAACAAGGTCATATGGACATTCCTAGCAGAAGAGGGGCTGAGAAAGTGAGTGTCTTTTAGGGAGGAATAAGATTGTCTTGACTATATTTGATCAATTTTAATTCATAGTCTGGGGGCAGGTATATCGCTTTCCTGAACAGTGTTAGGGTTCTGACCACAAGTAAGAAGGGTGTCTATATATGGGTGTCTTCACTCCTTATCCTCACATTGTGACGTGTCACTGGCCCTAGTTAATGGCGAGGGAGCTGAGGGCTTTGATGGGGAGGTGGTCTGAGCGAGGTCACCCTGGCTATGGAGTACTCCTGTGGATTTCTAGAACTGTGCTCATCTGTCACTTCAGTCCCCTTAGGGCTTGAGCAGCCTGCAACCTTCTCCCTAGAAGTTCCTGCTTGAATAATGGAGTGAGAGCGTGTCCACTGTAGGCAGAAAGGTCATGCATGTCCCAAGGTCCTGCACTGGGACTCTGGGGCCAGCAGACCCTTGTTTTACTGGGCAGGGCAGCGGCTTCCCTGGATTTCATGGAAATAACCTTAGAAGGGATTTGGGGAGTAGGCAGAGCCCCTGAGAAGCCCTCAGTGGACCCTGGTCTCCTCCATCCTGCATTTTCTGGTCGCCGACTTTCCTAGCAGAGCCAGTCAGGGAGGGGACATCCTCTCGGTGTGATCAGCAGCCTTGGAGAATTTGCTGCTCAAATGGGAGAAAACTGTCGTGCAGGAGAGGAACCGACTTCCTCTGGGTCCCTTTCAGAGAGCAGAGCTAGAAACAATGATTGACTTTACCAAGAAGAGTACTTCACTGGCCCAGAAGGGCAGCCTTTGACAGCAGAGAGATCTTGTGAAGATTAAGTGCAATACTATGAGTAAGGTGCTTAAAATAGTGCTGAGACCATAAATGCTTGCTTCTTGTCTTGGATGAAATGAAGGTCATTCAACTACAGAGTAGACTGCTGTGGAAGTATCCAAGTACTTAACACCAGCACTGTCTCCACCAATAACCAAGTCAGTCAACATTCATCGAGTCTTTAAGTGACTGTGTACATAAATGTTTATATGTGTGCGGCACCTTGCTAAGTACTTTACATGAATTTTCTCAGTTAACCTTTATGGAAATCTTGGGAGGTAGTTGCTTATTATTTCTGCTGTGCAGATGAGAAGACCAAGGTTAAAGGGGCTAAGACACCTGGCCAAAGTGAGCTTGTGGAGTGGAGAAGGGTTAGAGACCCGCCTCGCCCTGCCTTGCCCCATGATGCTAGCCTGCAGGGCATGCGGTTCCTCTGAAACACACCCTTTCTTGGTGATGATTGCATGAGACCCTGGTTCCCAGGCTTTCCCGGGTCTTATCAGTATTCTTTCAAAAACCCCAACAGTCTATCAGGACAGATTGAAAAAAAAAAAAAAAAAGTGGAGGAAGGGCAAATTCTGTCTTCCAGAGGTGGGGACCCACCATCATCTCCTGCCCTTGTGTATTGGTGCTTCCGTTCCTGGGCCTTTGGACTGGACCTTGCACCCTGGCCACCCTGGTTCTCAGCCTTTGGGCTTGCATTGAATGGCACTCTCAGCTTTCCCGGGCCCCAGCTCGCTGATGGCCGATCACAGGACTTCTCAGCCTCTGCAGTCATGTGAACCGGCTCCCATAATGCGTGTTTTCTCTCTCCACCTCTGTGTGCCTCCTATAGATTCTGTTTCTCCAGAGAACCCTGAGAAACACAAGGGCCCTCAGTCGCTTGTGGGCATCTGCTCAATTTCCATCCCATTTGCCCAGAGGGCTGTTTCTCTACTTCTCTCCTTTAATCCTTTTTTTTTTTTAAATAAAGATTTATTTATTTTTTTGAAAGTCAGAGTTACACAGAGAAGGAGAGGCAGAGAGACAGAGAGAAAGGTCTTCCATCTGCTGGTTCACTCCCCAGTTGGCTGCAACGGCCAGAGCTGCGCCGATCTGAAGCCAGGAGCCTCTTCCATGTCTCCCACGCAGGTGCAGGGGCCCAAGGACTTGGGCCGTCTTCTACTGCTTTCCCAGGCTATAGGAGAGAGCTGGATTGGAAGAGGAGCAGCCGGGACTTGAACCGGCACCCATATGGGATGCTGGTACTGCAGGCAGCGGCTTTACCTGCTATGCTATAGTGCCTGCCCCCCCTTTAATCCTTAATATTCTTTTCCTGAACCTCACTGGGAGAAAACAGAAACAGGCAGAAGAGCACATCCTATTCCTCCCACTGCAAAGCCGTGGGCCCTCCCTGCAGTTGTCCCATACGTATTCTGCCTGCCCTCGGCCCTGGACCTCCCTTGTGGCTAAGGCCCATCTGCACACTCATGTGCCGGTCCTATGCCCATCTCCTTCTTGAGCGTTTAGCTTTCCTGGTGTTCTTTCTCCTGAACCTGGCATCATATTTCCCCCCGACCCCTTTCCAGATGGCTTCCTCCATCACGCAGAGGTACTGTAATACATGCCACTTAGAAAAGAGGCCTCTCACTCCTCAGTCGTCTCGTGCTACATTTCGATTCTTCCCTAAACATACATAACGGAAACAGTAGTTTACCTCTACCGCCTTCACCTCTTCAGTTCCTGTTCTCCTTTGTCCCTGTAGGGAAGACAGCCGTTACCCACTGGAGTGTAGAGGGTCACGGTGCTCGTACGAAGTGAGAAGTGCTAGGAAGAAATGAAAGTGACAGGGCTGGGCTGGCCCCAGAGGCCTCCGAAGGAAGTGACTTCCGAGAGCAATTTGTTTGTCTTACAGACATGTCTCAGTTCTTTCTTCCTTTAAACAATTGCTCACATATATGGAGAGAGGGAGGGAGGGAGGCAAGACAGATTCAACCCCAGCCATTGGTGTTCTCAGCAAATTCCGGCAATGGCTGGGGTGGGGGTGAGGGTGTGTGCTGAAGCCAGGAGCCGAGAGCTCAGTCCAGTGTGGTAGGAACGCAACCACTTTTTTTTTTTTTTTTGCATTGCACTTTATAATTGCATGGGTAGTTTTAAATAAATGAAGAGAGCACCTTCCAGGAGCTACACTAGTAGGAAGATCCCACCAGCGTTTACATAGTAAATTTCTGTAATTCTGCAAAAGATTCTTGATCTTCAATTAAAACCCTTTCAGGTAGGTGCTCTCTGCTTGCAGAAGCAAACGGAAGGACCTAAACTCGGAGGCAAGCCTGGGATGCTGAGAACGGAGAAGAGAAATGACACAGGGCCGTTCCGAAGTTCTATGTCTACTTTGTGACACTTGTCCATCAATGACGCCTGTGTAAGTATTGTAGGGCAAACCTACATATGACAGAAATATGGCAAAATGTTAAAAATGGTTGCATCTTACAACCTTAAAACCTCCAAAGCTATCGTGCAGAATTACATCTTTGAATACCTTCGCCTGCTGGATGTCAAAAGACCGTACTTGGGCTCATCCGTGAGAAGTGGACAAATACTCTAGAGGAGCTCTCTACGCGCTCTACTTTGGTTTTCTGAATGAAGCACAGACAGGCGCTTTGCTATCCTCCAGGCAGTGGAATAGTCGAGGGAAAGGGCAACAGTACTGGATCACTGCTTAGATTCTGAGCAGCTGAGTTCATTGACAAAAGAGTTCATTGACAAAAGTATCCTCCCCCAAATGGTTTACACCAAGGAGGGGGAGCTCTCATAGCCACAGTCACTATAGGCATCCAACAGGCAGGAAGATGGCTTCAGGCAGTGGCCGGATGAAAGCAGACTTGAGATGCACAGCTCTGGAACGTGGTCGTCCACTCTAGGTCCTTCTTTACTGAGACTGGATTTGGTGTGATCGTTCTCTGATGGACTGTGAGGTGCTTCCTCCATTTTCACTACCACACTAGGCCAGCCCTCCGTCTCAGGGGGTGTCTCTAAGACTAGAGGCTTGCTATAGATGTGGTCAAAATGAATTAGTTCATGAATGGCTTCCAACTTGGCTGATAATGTCCTCATGGACCAAGAAATTTCACTGCTGCATATCATGCCTTTGTATTAATGTACCCACCTCCACTTACCTATTCTGTTGATGATATTGGGGCCATTTTGAGCAGTGCTTCTAGGGGCATTCTCATGTGTGTTGTACCGTGCCAGTGTGTTCAAGTTCCTCTATGGTAGATACTAGAAAAACAATTGCCGTTTACTGGTAATGCAAACTGTTTCCTACTCTTTCTGTCTTGAAACTGCTCTGACACTTTAGGCATATTTTTGATCTTAAAACACTCTTTAGGGTCACCAGCTGTCTCCACATTGACACACCCAGGGGCTAGTTCTGAGCTTCCCACTAAATGATTCCTGTTGTGAATCCCACATTTTGTGACATCAGTATCCCAATTTTCAAGAAAAAAAACCCAGTATACAGAAACCCATGTGTGACAGAAATACGGCAAAATGTTAGAAATGGTTGCATTGTAAAGAATTACAAGGAGACATTGCCATTTTCTAAGGGAGTGGTTTTTATAGCACCTGCTCCTCTTGGGGAGGGGCTATAGTGAGGCCGCGTTGGGAAATCCTTTGCCTCTCACGTCACACTATCAGTCATGGCATGGTGACTTCCATCTGGGAGAGCTAGGGTGAGCAAATGGCTTGCTCTTTTGAACAGGGAACTGACTCTAGAAGCCCACACTCACATGTGTGCTACCTCTTGTGTTGTCTGTGGTTAGCGTGGTCGGATTACATGCTCGGCCTGGGGCCTCATGTCTGGGGGAGGGTGCGGGATGTCTACTGCAGAGGAGGGCAGATCCAGTCAACTCACTGATGGAGTGGAAGAGCTAAGCATGATGATTTTGAGAGACTCAGTCTCTGGATCCTAATTTAGAAGATGAGGCTATTTTTTTTCTTAAAACGATGGAGGAGTCCCATGGTATTGCCCACATTTTTGAAGCTTACTGAATAATTCTTCTGCCACTAATAGAGCTAACCTGTCGTTTTGGCTCTCCCATCCATACCTTTTTAGATTTGAAAGAGATCTCTGACAGCCGGGCCTTTTTCCTTGCTCTCTAATTGTTTTACAGCTCAGACCTGTGAATCCCAGATCCCCTGTACTCTGGGACCACTTCCTGCCTGGCAGGAGGTTGAAAGGAGTCTTGGAATCAAGTTTTGCCACAGCTGTTGGCCTCTGTCCATGTGGTTCTCCTGATCGGAATGCTGTCTGCCTTCTGTTTCGCGGGTTCCCACCAACTCATTCTTCAAGGACAAGGTCACCTTGAAGTTATCGTTTGCCTTTCATGTACTCTGAGGGACAGGCCAGGGGGGCAGCTGGGTCTAAAATCCAGCTCACGTTCCTCTCAACACACACTGACTCTGTGTCTGCTCAGGGACAGGTGGATTTTCTAATTTGTCTCCCTAAAGCAGTCCTCCAAATTTGCCCTACGGCATTTTCTAGATTAGCTGTATTGGTCAGTTTTCTGTTACCAATGAAATACCTGAGGAAATGAACCTCAGGAGGTTCAAGTCCAAGGTCAGACAGCCCCACTGGTTTGGCATTGAGTGAGGGCTGAGAATGGTAGTGGCTGAGCTCACATGCAAGTGCAGAGAGGGAGGGAGAGAGAGAGGGAGAGAGAGAGGGAGAGATTGAGTTGGAGGAAGGATCACGAGGTGGTACATAGAGAGTTTGAGTCCAAACTCAGGCTTTTATAACAACCCTTTGGGGAGAGCTGTCTTCCAAGTGCACATCCCCAGTGACCTAAAGATCTTCCCCCAGGCCCCACCTCCTATAGGTTTTACTATTACCCAGTAGCACCACCCTGGGACCAAGCCTTTAACACATGGACCTTTGGGAGACACCCAGTCTAATATCGGAATCACAGTGCTGACCAAAGCCCTGTAGGTGCACCTCCAGCGGGCCTGGTGCCCCGAGCCTTCCGGGACTACCAGGCAGAGGCAGGCTTCTCACGTCTGGGACTCTGTTCCATTGGCTCATTCCTTCTCTCTCCCTCTCTACTTCTCTCCCTCCCTCCCTCTCTCTCTACCTCCCTATCTCCCTCCCTCCCTCCCTCTCTTCATTTTGAGATCATTTTCGGTTTGCAGAAGAAGTTGCAAAGGCAGTGCAGAGAGTTCCCATGGACCCCTTGCAGTCTCAGTCTCCCCTGGGGCTATCGTTTCCCATTTCTGAGGTCAACATCCTTCCGATCCAGAGCTTCCCTGGGATTCCTCAGAGAGCCATGGGAGGTGGCGGTCCTAGCTGGAAGACTTACAGACTGGGTTTTCTCTTGGCTGTGGTCAGGTCTGGGTTTGTCCAGAGGCCATCCTTCCCAGGGACTGTGTGCAGGTGGGACAGCGGGGGTGGGGCATGGACATATAGGAAGGAGAGGGGGTGGACGTGCCCACATAGTCGGTGAGGCCGTGGTTTGCTGTTGAGAGGGAGGAGGGTTTGCATCCAGTAGGAGCTGTGTGGTTCAGGGGCTTGTTTTCTTCTTCTCTCCCTTCCCCTATTTCTTGGCCCTGGGGAAGAGGAAGTGGCCACATGACAGAGATGGATGCAAACTCTGTGAAGGACATTGCACACCAAGACCACAGCACTGTGTACTGCAGTCCTCGGTGGAGCCTGGGACGGGGTCAGGAGAGAGGATGTCAGGCATCATCTGAGATTCAATGGGCCAGGGACACTGTGACCTGAACAGTGGGCCTGATCCACCTGCCTCTGGGTGCAGCAGGAGTTCCAAGACAGAAGTGGACTCTGACTGAGAGCCCAGAAGCTGCCGTTCTCCAGCACCTGTGGGCATCTTCTTGGGAGAACTGGCTAGTGGTGGTAGGGTTTGGGGGCCACAAGTTCCTTTTGGGAGGTGACTGGAATTAGACAAAATCCTCAGGGTAGAGCCCCACGGCTGGATTACTGGTGGTTTGTAAGAAGATGGAGAGAGACCAGAAGATGGACTCTTGTGTTTATGCTGTTTCTTGCTATGTGATGCCCTGTCCCACCCAAGGACTGTTAGAAGGTCATTACCAGGAGCAGCCCCTTGGGCTTGGTCCCCCAAAACTGTGAGCCAGAATACACCCCTCTCTTTCAGAGTTACCCAGTCTGTGGTCTTGGACTAATACAGTGATTCAAACGGAAACTAACGTGTCTGGTGTCAGAAGCCACATTCTCGCCACAGTCCCACACCACTGCTCAAGTCCTGTGCTTGTCATCCTACGAGACTGTGTTCCAGGCGCTCGCCTCAATCACCCGGGCTGCTTACCAGGAAAGTCAAGGCCGGAGGAATCCAGATCCAGAGAAGCAGAGTCTTCCGGGGTGGGGCCAGCCCTTGCCTTTGTCACAAGCTCTGCAGGCACTTCTGACGTCATTCACACCCGAGACCTTCTTAGGTGGTCCTTGGGCATCTCTGAGACTCCAGAGGAGACAAAGGCTCCGGATTTCTAGAACTGAGCTCAGTGTGCTTGCCACCTGCTCTGTTTCCTGTGGTGGGGGAAGAATGAAGCAGATGAGTCTTGGCATTGATCCTTCGTGGGTGCTCCTTGTAAAGAGACAGTGGTCGTTACTGGAATTACAAGGTCACCTGGACGGGATGCCGGACCATCAGCTAGCCACAGCGGTGACTCCATACCATCTGCACACCGCTTTTGTTGACTATGTATTTAGAAAAGACGTTACACACAGTCAAGTTGACATTTCAGAGCAGACAGTGGCCCACAGCCATGGCTATTGAAAACAATTGGCGTTTATTGAATATTTACTCTGTCAGGTGCTTTGTATGCCTCCTTTAACTGCCTTGTGAGTTGGCTATGAATATTATTCCCGTTTGGTTGGAACAGAAACTGATGCTTAGAGAAAAGGTTTTACGTAGCTCATAACTCTTGAGTCAGGATTCAAAAAACAGTCCATGGCACTTAATATCCAGGACTCTCTGACCCCACCCAGGACACCAAAGCCTGGGCTCGGGGTATCTGTCTTCTGATGGTTTCTGCCGAAAAGATCCACCAGCTCTCACCCAGTCGGAGCCTATATTCTGTTGAGCAGGAGACTGCTAGATGCTGTAGGTGAGCCCACGGGGTAAGAGGAGACACCTGCTCCCAGAAACTCATAGTGTAAATACGGATAGGGCTCTGGCAAGAGATGCTAGTGATGCAAACGGGTAGTGATGCTGGGACTTTGCTCTGTGGGCCTGTGTGTGTGTGTGTGTGTGTGTGTGTAATGGGACAAGAGTGTGAGAAGAGAAAGAGAGGGAGGTAGGGTGGATCTTGGGGCTATGCAGCGGTGGCTCTGAAGGCCTTGGGACCGTGGCATCCTGCCTGGCTGGTGAGGTGAGAGAGTTCTCCATGGAG